TTTCAAGAACAGGAAATATATGACCAATGGAAAATGGTGGTGCAGCACTATACAAAAAATTCTTCTCTTTATGGTTGGTTTTCTCAGGCTGCCGCAGTCTTCTCTCTTCCTTTACTAAATTCTTGTTTGAGTTTGAAATACAGCACTATAACACTCTTCTCAATACGTGATGAAACTTTCGTCCTTTTTGCAATACTGTACATCTTTTTATACCCACAAAGCACATTTTTTTCTGGTTACACTGTCTTAACTCAATTTAGACTGCTGATATATTTAATTTGGTCTTCTAATACTCCCTCCCACGTGGACATCTAGTCCATCCCAGACACCAACCAGCTCGAATGATGGTGCTATTTCTACTAAAACACCTAAATTAAACTTCACAACTTTGCTTCACACTTTCTATGACAATAGTAAAGTAATATAATAAACAACATATAACGAAGGACCATATAGGATTTATATATGCATACCAAAGTTACCCAAATCCAAATACAAATACCTGTATTCGCCACACATCCATAACATTTTCTTATCTTCTTCTTAATTTATTGGCCTCAGCAACTGAAGCTATCCGCCCAGCATAACGAATAAGTCGAAGCATGACAATGACTGATGACAATGATAACTTACAGCCAGTATTGATATTTAAGATAATGCAGATCTCTGAGATCAATGTTGATATTAGATGGATGTTACTTGTCAATTGTCATATTTAAAAAATATAGGTTGAGTTTCGAGTATTTTTCTAAAAATTGTTAACTTCTGGTGAAATTTTCGACACTTGCTTGTTAACACATCAGTCTTAGAAAATAGATTCATGACATTCTTATTGACATAATAATGGCTCCTTTAACACCAGCCACTCTTAATAATTCTGAAAAAATATTTGCATTCCAAAAAGAGAATTATAAATCACAGTTCTGTTGTAGAAAAAACTTCATTGACTATGTGTTAGAAGTTTTATGATGACAAATTTATCACAAATATCAACTTGTCATTCAGATAGAATCGAACATTCATTAAATAAATTTCAATCCGTTGACTCTTTAATCACGTGGTATCAAATCTGCATGTGCTAAATCGGTTCCAGATTTTTTAAACCGGCCACACCTTCCGGTACATAATCGTCAGATCTGGGTCTTAGTTACCAAGCCCAATTAATCAAAGACAAGAAGTTTCGTCAGATCTGGATAATGATTTAGTTACCAAGCCCAATAAACCATAGAGAAGAAGAAGTTGGAAGACATCTCTAGATTGTTAGTTGTTACATATAGACCTGTCAGAGATGCTGTCAAAATTAAATAAAAATGGCCGCCTGTAGGCACGCATGTTTGTTCTAATGGAAAGAAAACTAGAAAAGTCCATAATCAACTTGTCTTTGTGAGTGATTGTGTTGCTGCTTGCTGAAATTCGTTGTCTGAGGCTGATTTTACATATCAATCATCCTTCATATCATAAAATCATGCTTATAACGTGTGTTGTTGTAAATTGTGGAAGCTGTGGGGATCGTGATCGGTGAACTTTTACAAAATACGTAGTGAATTTCTGCTTTTACCAAAGGAAAGAAGCAGTTGCATCCAGTTGAATTAGAAATTAGAAGCAACTAGAGCCATTGCACATGTCAGGGTTCATGTAGAAAGTAATAGGTTGCATTCGTCAAAAAAATATTTGTAGCCAGTCAAACTTTTGTAGGCCTTCATCTGCTGATTTGTATAGAAACTATGATAGCACCAGATAAGAACTCATATCGAAAGCACTAACTGGTGGAAAACATTCTATAGAACTGTTCATTTCTTCTGAAGTGAAAGTAAAAGAATCCATGCACTGTATCACTCTGATTTTATCTTTGTAATGCACAGCAATGTCTTTGTTTTCACGTTCCAATATTAGTAAATAATCACTTTCATTACAAACAGTCATCATACTTATTTTCACAGTTTCCAAAAATAACAAAACACGAAAAAACCGTGAAGTACCTATATCATTGTACTCATTGTGAGCCAACAGGGGGCCATATTGTTCGAGAATTGGTCACGTGTTCTGTACATCCTTATAAGGATGATATACCTATATCATTTTACCTATATCATTGTACTCATTGTGTGCTTACAGGCGGCCATATTGTTCGAGAATTCGTCACGTGTTCTGGACATCCTTATAAGGATGATATAGGTACTTCACGGTTTTTTCGTGTTTTGTTATCTTTGGAAACTGTGAAAATAATTATGGTGGCTGTTTGTAATAAAAGTGATTATTTACTAATATTGGAACTTTCATTTCAGAAGAAATGAACAGTTCTATAGAATGTATTCCACCAGTTAGTGCTTTCGATATGAGTTCTTATCTGGTGCTAACTCATAGTTTCTATACAAATCAGCAGATGAAGGCCTACAAAAGTTTGACTGGCTACAAATATTTTGAAGCTGGATTTGTACATGATTGTGAAGCAAAGTCAATCGGAGAGCATATTGTTGTGATTGCCAAGGTATTTAGATATTTTTCAAACTTGATTTATTCATAATTTTCTCTGAATATGTATCTTAATTTTAGTTCAAGCATTCACAGAGGATGAACAATCCCCCACTACAAGTCTGGATTATATTCGAGAAATATGGTGCAATAATTTCAGCTCATTGTACCTGCATGGCAGGCCATTCTGAAGTTTGCACTCACGTTGCTACTGTACTGTACGGCCTGGAATATATCAACCAATTCAATATATGGTAAATTTTCGTTTTGTGGACACCCGGCGATTTTGAAAAAAATTTTGACTGTATTTACGTATTTTGATGCGTAGAAAGAAATCCGAATCCGAAAGAAAAAAGCGGCGCTCTCCCTCATTTAAAAAGTTACGGCCCTTCAAAGTTCAGAAAAGGACAACTTTTCAGCCTTCTTTTTTACCAAATAAACTATTTAAAAACACAAGCATCTATTCACTAGGTCACACTTTACACCTTATTCCTCCTTCTTTAACACTTTTCACTTCAATAATCAACATTTTTGTTATAAAAATGTTAAAAAATGTACGGAGCTGCTTTTTGGTTACATATCACTGTATTTTACGTTTTCAAGGTTAATGATATGTTGGTACGACTGATGCAGTCAATATTCCTAAAGTAATTCAAATGTTTTTTGCCTTCATTCTTTAGCTCGTAAAAATGTACTGAGCTTTTTTCTTCGGTATTTTCATAATCCGCTTTCTATTGCATCTATACCATAAAGTGTCATAATTTAATTTGCAGTCTTCATTGCAATTAGTACAACGTATTGTTGCTGCAAACACTCCTACTTGAACCAAATATAGAATTAAATTATTTCTTTCTTTCACTAAATTATGAATTTCGTTCAAATTCATTTTGTATTTTTCTCTCACGTCAAACTAAAAATTCAAATCTACGAATGACAAATACCAACCGCTTTTTTCTGAAATGTCACTAGTATCTAACCTACAAATATAATAGTGTCACCAGGAGAAGCATTCGTTTTTAAATCAAATTTTTTATAACGAAAATTTACCAATTAATGTATCTTTGAAAGTGTTTGGCCAAAACATATTCTATATATTAACGGAACCTAGTTTCTGACCTACGTACCAATTGAATAAACCAAAAATTTATTATAATTCAGCTCTATGATCTGAAATATGATTTTGCAATAATACAGTACCTATAATAAAACATCACGACAGTTGAAACAAAAATACAAATCTAGACTAAGTATATACAATTCACAAAAACAATTTCATGAGGTTTTTTATTTCTAACTCAAAGGTACTATTGGTGGGCAGATATTAATCAATCCACAATACATAGTCACTATTTCATCCAAGATCGTATCATCTTCACCACAAACAAGCAGAGATCTGATAGAATCCTATATTCTTGACGAATGCAACCTATTACTTTCTATATGAACCCTGACATGTGCAATGGCTCTAGTTGCTTCTAATTTCTAATTCAACTGGATGCAACTGCTTCTCTCCTTTGGTAAAAGCAAAAATTCATTACGTATTTTGTAAAAGTTCACCGATAACGATCCCCACAGCTTCCGCAATTTACAAAACAACACGTTATAGGCATGATTTTATGTTATGAAAGACGATTGATATGTAAAATCAGCCTCAAACAACGAATTTCAGCAAGCAGCAACACAATCACTCCAAAAACAAGTTGATTATGGACTTTTATAGTGTTCTTTCCATTAGAACAAACAACATGCGTACCTACAGGTGGCCATTTTGATTTAATTTTGACAGCATCTCGGACAGGTCTATATGTAACAACTAACAATCTAGAGATGTCTTCCAACTTCTTCTTCTCTATGGTTTTATTGGGCTTGGTAACTAAACCAATATCCAGATCCGACGAAACTTCTTCTCTTTGGTAAATTGGGCTTGGTAACTAAGACCCAGATCTGACGATTATGTACTGGAAATTGTTGCCGGTTTAAAAAATCTAGAACCGATTTAGCACATGCAGATTTGGTACCACGTGATTACAGAGTCAACGGAGCGAAATATATTTAATGAACGTTCGATTCTATCTGAATGACAAGTTGATATTTCTGATAAATTTGTCATCACAAAACTTCTAACACATAGTCAATGAAGTTTTTTCTACAACAGAACTGTGATTTATAATTCTCTTTTTGGAATGCAAATATTTTTTCAGAATTATTAAGAGTGGCTGGTGTTAAAGGAGCCATTATTATGTCAAGAAGAATGTCACGAATCTATTTTCTAAGACTGATGTGCTAACAAGCAAGTGTCGAAAATTTCACCAGAAGTTAACAATTTTCAGAAAAATACTCGAAACTCAACCTATTTTTTTTAACTATGACAATTGACAAGTAACATCCATCTAATATCAACATTGATCTCAGAGATCTGCATTATCTTAAATATCAACACTGGCAGTAAGTTATCATTGTCATCAGTCATTGTCATGCTTCGACTTATTCGTTGTGCTGGGCGAATAGCTTCCGTTGCTGAGGCCAATAAATTAAGAAGAAGATAAGAACTTGTTATGAATGTGTGGCGTATACAGGTATTTGGGTACACTTTGGTATGCATATATAAATCCTATATATGGTCCTTAATTATTTCACTTTGAATTTGTAACAGAGGACAGAGGAGTTATTGCTACTGGCTAGTGAATAGTGGTTTCAGTTATATTTAAACTTCAAAATTATAATAAGTTAAGTCCTGTCAGATCAATAACTCATTTAAGTTTTCATATTTCAAAAATAATTGACTGATTTCAAAACTAATTGACTGAAAGTAGAAATGAGTCGTCGAAGGCCCCATGATGATGATGATGGCTATGGTAAGTTTGAAGTTTTTTATTTAAACTTGAATTGCTGATAACTCTAATTTTCCAGACCGAGCATATAGAAAAAGGCGAAGGGTATCAGAGAATCAAGAAATTGAAGATAGACTGGAATCTCTTATATTAAGAGTTGGAGAAAAAAGTACGTCTTCCTTAGAAAGTAACTTGGAAGGGTTAGCTAGTGTTCTTGAGGCTGACCTTTCCACATTCCGTGCAAAAATTTTGAGGATCCTCACAGATTGTGCTATCAAAATGCCAGAAAAATGTACAATTTATACTACACTTGTTGGTTTGTTGAATGCAAAGAATTTTAACTTCGGAGGTGAATTTGTAGAATACATGGTCAAGACTTTCAAAGAATCTCTGAAAAATTGTAAGTGGGATCCAGCTAGATATGCCCTAAGGTTCTTGGCAGATTTAGTGAACTGTCATGTTATATCAGCAATGTCTTTACTGCAGCTTCTGGATAATATGATAGATACTGCAAATGAAGACAATGTTCCTCAAGTCAGAAGAGATTGGTATGTCTTTGCGATTCTGAGCACCTTGCCCTGGGTTGGTAGAGAATTATATGAAAAAAAAGAAAAATCACTGGAACACCTTATGGTACAAATTGAAGTATTTCTCAATAAACGAACAAAAAAACATCACAATGCCTTGAGGGTTTGGGCAGTTGACACTCCTCATCCACAGGAAGAGTATCTTGATTGCCTTTGGGCTCAGGTACGAAAATTGCGACAGGACAACTGGGCTGAAAAGCATATACCCCGACCCTACTTAGCTTTCGATTCTATTTTATGTGAAGCTTTACAGCATAATTTGCCTTCCATTTTACCTCCACCTCACCATGATAGCTACCAATATCCGATGCCATGGGTAGTATTCAGGTAAGCAGTGTATTTTGTTTTCTAAAATGCTAGAGTTATAAAGATTTTCCATTAATTCAGACGTACTTTTCACTTGTTCCTAAAAGGTCTTTATACCATGTCCCATATCATTTGATGAATATATTATTAATTCAACTTGATCGCTGTAATCATTTACAACTTTTTGTAAAGTGTGAGAAAGATAGAACTTGATTGAGGTTAGGGTCATTTCAGTATCTTATTACCCCTTTTGCAATTTCTTTTATGTGTTATTTATTTCAAATCAGTGGATTCTACTGTTTCCCCATCAAGCTGACAGAACCAAGTTATAATACTTCACTTAGGTATTTTGAATTTGTAATATTTTTGAGCTCATTTTAGTCTCCTTCACTACACCATTTGACAATTTTTTGCTTGCATTTTGAATGGTATATTTGGGTGATTACCTCAGATACACATGATAACAGTAGAAATAATTTTGTGGAGTGTGGGGAAGATAGAAATTCATTGACTATACATATTAACCAAGGGGTTCCATATTGCTGGGAGCTCATTCATTTCATTAAAGAATAATCTGTTAAAGAACTTTATCATATATACTGCAGAGACTTATATGACTTATAAATTGATTTTAACTGATATTAGGGTTTCTAAATGAAATATATTCAATTAATGTATGCATTCATGAATATCATTATTGCATTCAAAGTATTTCATTTGAGCTCATCTTAGCTACATTGAATAACCTTAAAATTTTTCAAAATCTCCTGCTATATAGATAACTTTATTATTTTCCAGACTTTTCGACTACACAGATTGTCCAGAGGGTCCCATACTGCCAGGAGCTCATTCAATTGAAAGATTTCTCATCGAAGAACACTTACATTCTATTATAGAACTTTATCATTTAGAGAGGAAGGACTGTGCAGCTCATCTTCTAAATTTTCCTTACAAGTTGAAAATTCCATTGGAATACTGCATTGTAGAAGTCATTTTTGCAGAACTCTTACACATGCCAACACCAAGATATATTGAAATTTCGTATGGAGCAATTTTGATTGAATTATGTAAACTACAGCCTTCAACAATGCCTCAGGTCTTAGCACAAGCGACTGAAATGCTATTTATGAGAATTGATACAATGAACGTGTCTTGCTTTGATAGATTCGTTAATTGGTTTTCCTATCATTTAAGTAATTTCCAGTTCAGATGGTCATGGGAGGAATGGGATTCGTGTTTGAATCTGGATGAGGATCATCCAAAACCAAAATTCATCAGAGAAACAATGCTTAAATGTATGAGGTGAGTTTTTCAAATTACTGCATCTAGTGGCATAATCATATTTTGTTTTTATAGATTTTAACCGTGGTAGACAATGTAATTGGTCTATCAAAGAAATCATATCTTCAAATGGTTCAATACTAACCAACAATAAGTACATAGCAAATGAAATTCATAATTTTTTCTCTGATATTGGGTTGATATTATTAAAATTGAAAAGTGAATCAGTTTGATACTTCTTGGTCACATTTAGTCTTGAAATCTATTCCAGGAGAAAAAATAAAATTTTTAAAAATGAACACACTTCCTGGTGAAATGTGTGGTGGAATTAATAACATATTTAGGTAACACTTTATCACTGAAGACTCCTTCACTGACAACTGCCGGATATAATTCAACACACTTCGTGGTATTAGCCAGGGATGCAGTTGTTTTCTGATAGGTGTCAGTCCATTAACCTACAATGTAGGTAATTTGACACTGGCCTGAACAAATTGTTTTTTTTAGATGGAGACATTATCATCTCAATAAGAATATGTCACGAATCTATTTTCTAAGGCTGATATGCTAAGAAGTAAGTGTCGAAAATTTCACCAGAAGTTAACAATTTTCAGAAAAATACTCGAAACTCAACCTATTTTTTTTTAAATATGACAATTGACAAGTAACATCCATCTAATATCAACATTGATCTCAGAGATCTGCATTATCTTGAATATCAATACTGGCTGTGAGTTATCATTGTCATCAGTCATTGTCATGCTTCGACTTATTCGTTGTGCTGGGCGAATAGCTTCCGTTGCTGAGGCCAATAAATTAAGAAGAAGAAAATATTCATATGCCGACTCTAATTTTTATATTCATTTCAGGTTGTCATATTACCAGCGAATAAGAGAAATTTTACCAGAAAGTTTCTCAAAGTTCATACCTGAAAAAGCCGAACCAGACTACAAGTATGCTCACGAAGGAGCTGGTAAGTCTTTCATATTTTTGTAGCATTTGAATATTCCAACTATGAATGTTGTTACACTTGAACTATTCATTTATAAGTGATCACCCGTTTTGATACCCTTTAAGCTCTTCAATTTATATGTATTGTCATCCTCCTTAGTGAGACTTGTTTGTATACTCTTATTCTCTATGTATATACCTATTAATGAATTTATCATGCAAAGCTGTAAAATATGTCTTTTATTATTATGATTTCATAAACCATTGTAACTTCTGTGGAATCGTTTTTGTACTATGATTTGATGCCTCACTTATAAATGAATTATGAAATGTTTTTTATTTTGAATTGAATTTCAATGTGGACATTTTGTTTGTTTCAGCAAGTCTACCCGGTACTTCAGCCGCCCTTCAATTGGTTGTCTCCATTCGACAGAAATGTACTCCCGAAGAAGTGCTCGCCGTCCTCAAAGACCTTCCCAACCCACGTTCTGAGGAAGAGGGCGACGGTCGTTTCAATCCGCTGAAAATCGACGTCTTCGTCCAAACTCTACTGAACCTAGGTTCAAAAAGTTTTTCACATAGTTTCGCAGCAATATCGAAGTTTCACTACGTGTTTAAAATATTAGCAGAATCGGAGGAGGCTCAGATCTGTATTTTGCGAAATGTTTTCGAATTGTGGCACAACCACCAGCAAATGATGACTGTTTTAATTGATAAGATGTTGAAAACGCAAATAGTGGAGTGTTCAGCGGTAAGTGGTGTTAATAATGAATTGAATGTGTCCTTGTGTGATTTGGTTGAATGCATGAAGACAATTTTGAGAGTGAATAATTTTGGGCTCGTTCAATAATATTAATCACTTCTCGTTTTTAGGTGGCAAATTGGATCTTCTCCAAAGAGATGAATGTTGAATTCACCAAAATGTATCTGTGGGAAATTCTCCATTTGACGATAAAGAAAATGAACAAGCATGTTATTAAATTAGGCGATGAGTTGACTGAATCTAGGGAAAAATTAGCTAGAGCGGAATCTAGTGATAGTGATTCTGATGATGATGAATCAAAAAAGAAACAAGGTGACTCAGAAAAACCTACCGAGGAAATGGTAGAGAGGATGGAAGAAAAGTTAGAAGCAGCTCAGGCTGATCAGAAAAATTTATTTCTCATAATATTTCAGAGATTTATTATGATTTTATCTGAACATTTGGTCCGTTGTGATACTGATGGAAAAGATTACAGCACACATTGGTACACCTGGACAATTGGTAGACTGCAACAAGTGTTCTTAGCAGTGAGTATTTTTTTGCATTAATCTATTAAAAATAATGGATAACTTCTCAAAATATAACGTATGCTTTCATAATGAGAAATAAAAATGAAAAATAAAGTTTTATTTTTCATTTTTCTTGATGATCTACCATTTTAACGATAAAATTATTTTATCATTGAAAAAATCTTTCTCAATTTCAAATATCGAATTCATAACCTTACAAACAATAGATAAATTTTTTTTTCACCATGATTAACTGTTGATTTACTCTCAACTTATTGATATTATTTTTTTTCAGCACCATGAGCAAGTTCAAAAATACAGTTCAACCCTGGAGACATTGCTGTTCACACAGGATCTGGATCACCATATTCTTGAAGTATTCCAACAATTTGTATCTTTGAGATCCTAATTATTTATTTTCTTAAGCTAGGTAAATAGTGTAGCAGTGTTTTATATGAAAATGTTTTTATTTCATAGACTTCTATATGAAAGTTTGAATATTGATAATAGATCAGAATAATTGAATTTTGTGTTTTTGTTTAAAATATATTCTTCTCATCATATATGACATTGTATAAGTCCAGAATGAAATTCAACTCACTATTCCAAAATTTCTTTCAAATCTGCTTCATATTTTATTAACTGTGTTTCAACAGACTCTGTAATACTATCCTTATTTTTTACTATAGTTTTTTCCAACTTTCCGGACATTGAATGTGGGTGATTTCATATCGGTCGAATCAGGTGGAGGAAGAAGACCATTCCTCAAATAATCGAGTATAAGTTAACCCCCACACAAATGGGGTCTGATTGAGTTGGAATTTTTTTCTGCACAATTTTAAAACTTTATTCTGAGTACAATTCAATTGATAAAAATTTTTTTTTTGTCTGAAGATACTGTTACGTGGGTTGATCAATAATTGATTATACTGAATAATCAACTTTAACTTTATTTCACTTTAAATACAACAAACACTTCAACTATCGCCCCACTAGATCACTTCGCGTACAGCACTATAACGTCCACTTGACTGTGTCGATATGCCCGCCGCTAGCATTTAAGTATCGTAATCGAACATCGTAGAAATTTCGCCGAAGTTCCGCCGAAATAGGAAGCATTATTATCGCTGCTTCTCGAGTGGCGGGGAGTCATCGTACATTCCCGCGCTGTTAGCTCCGTCACGTTTGGTTTATGGTTACCAGTGGCGGCCGGCGTTACTTTCTTTCGGGCATGATCTACAACACTAGTTCGTTCCCTGAGGTTGTCGCCCCGAACAACATTCCAAGAGGGGGCATCACGACCCATGTAATGAATCAGCCTCTCTACGTGGACAACTTCAGGCTTGCTTCTGGGTGACAATTGGATTCTGAACACCAGATTGTTTATCTTTTTGGTTACCAAGTAAGTTCCTTGTCATGATCTCTGCAATTTGGGACACATACCTTTTCGATGTTGGGGTTGGTAGAGCCACACTGCATTGCCCTCCTTGAAGCTCACTGGCAGCGTCTTTTTGTCGAATCTTATCTTCATCCTGTCGCTGGAAAGCTGTAATTTGGACCTGGCAAATTCGTGTACAATTTCCAGCCTCTTCTTCAGGTCATTCACATACTCTGAAAGAGGTACCCCTTGAGATTCATCGAAAGGACTGCCTTACAATACATCTATCGAAGGCTTCAGTTCCCGACATGAATGGTGATATAACCTGTCGCGTCATGTTGGGGGAGCTCCTGTATGCCATCAGAAAAAAAAAAGAATCAATTTATTCCAGTCTCTTTTGTTTTCGGAGACAAACATGGAGAGGTAGTTATTGATGGTGCGATTATGCCCCTCGACCATTCCATTGGATTCTTGGTGAAGAGCAGTTGTTTTTGTCTTCTTTATTCCCAACAGAGTCATCATTTCCTTCCATAAATCCGATTCGAAGTTGGGCCCTGATCCGAGTGTAGTTCTTGGGGTATTCGTGTCTGGCAATTACGTTCTGCAACAGGGCTTCTGCCACCGTTTTAGCCTCTTGGTTGGGTAAGGCTACCACTTCAGGCCACTTGGAAAAGTAGTATATCACAACCATAAGGTACTTGTAACCGGATGTGGTCATAGGGAGTGGTCCCAAAATGTCGACTGCGATTCTCTCTAAAGGGCACCCACTGAGGTACTGCTTCAACTTTTCTCTCTGCCTTGTCTTCGGACCCTTTCTCGAAGAGCACTGGTCACAGCGCTTACACCACTATTCCACGTCACGGCAATTGACCCAATAGTCCTCTCGCGCAATCTCGCTAGAGTTCTATTTACTGCCAAATGCCCTCCAGTGCGACCATCGTGAAGCTGTTTGACGATACTCGGGATACACGTCTTAGGAAGGATCATCTGGAATTTGTGGATTCTTCCATCCGGGCTTTCCCATTTCCGAGTGAGTAAGTCATCTAGAATGCTCATGGAGTCGCATTGGAGCCAGTAACCCTGTTCCTGCTGGCCGTGCTTGGAAATCTCGCACAGTTTTCAAGACGGGATCCTCCTTCTGCGCTACGATGATGTCTTGCCTCGTCAGGAAGGTAGTGTCACCCTCAGGGGCTCCTGACGACCGTAACACACCATGGTCAGATGATTTTTCAAATTGTCTGTCTGTATCCTTGGACAGGGGATACGGTCGGGTTCCCTTTGACCCGGAGGGACCCGAAGCGACGGGAGGTATGAAAGCTTATCTCCCTATCAGAGCTGTCCATAAAGGAGTCTCTGCCCGCTACCTTATCACGTCTGCTGGAAGTTTCTTTCTCTGGTAACTGTTCAGAAATCCGTCGACAACTGATATGTTACTGCTACGCCCTATCGTGGAAATCGAATACCTGGTGACTTGGGATGCAGCAGTCAATGTACTTCTCTCACCACAGGCTGATTTTGGTTTTTCCAAATCCTGTCGCTCCAGTTCGGGTGATCTCGAACGCCAGTTACCTCTTGCCTTGGATGCAGTTCCATTCATCAAATATATCTTTAAGAGTTCTTCAAGACCTACCATGAGTCGATCTAACCTCTCGACTTCAGCTCCAAACTCTTGCAAACTTTCTGATAGACCTTGAGTTCTCACCTTCAGTTGAGTTTGGTAGACTTGTTGAAGGTGCTCACTGATCTCCAAAGCTGATACGACTGCTTCATAATTCTTTTGCCTATTCACTGGAATATTTTGCAGAATTTCGGAAGCATTTCCTCGTAGTGCTAGTATGAGAGCTGTTGCTTCCTCCTCCTATTATTTTCCGTAGCGGCCTCAAATTGTCTGCGATAAATTGACCATGAAGATTCGCCATCGAAAGTTGGAGTTTTAATAAAACTACTGCTTGAAGAGGAAGATGTTCCCGATTTGCATTTTTCCACAGTAAACCTTTTCGGGTCCGGTGATTATTTGCGAAGTTTCCGGAAAATCTCTTAAAACTTCTTGTCAAACTTTAAGCTTTTTCACAAGCTCTTCTTCAAATTTCTTTTCCACCCCCTCAAGCTCCTCATCGACTGCTTTTTCAAATCCCTCCTTTGTTTCCTGAAACACTTTTCCAAATTCTTCCTGAAGAAATTCCTGTACCTCTCCTTTACTCATTTGGGAAGATTTTAAATATTCCAATAAATGAAGGTACTCGTACATCTGATTGTCTTTTTCCCGTTTTTCCTGAATCCCTAGTAGTAATTCACGATCTTCATTTCTGTGTAACTTTTCTTCCTACCTCCGTCGTTCATCTTCTTCATTTGGGCGTAATTGTTCTTCCTTTCTTCTTCGTTCGTCTTCCTCTCTTTTGCGTTCAGCTACCTCTCTTCTGCGTTTTTAATTCTCTGCCAGGCTCGCTTACAAAGCCTCGAACATTTGCTTGAGTCCGTCGTAATCGACACTCAGTGTTTTCACCATAAGACAGAAAAATTTCAGTCAATTATTCCACTTCCGACACCACGTTTTTCCCCGTGGCTTGATCAATAATTGACTACACTGAATAATCAAACTTAACTTTATTTCACTTTAAATACAAAAAACACTTCAACTAAAACTTTAACTATTATTTGAATGTCTATCGCCTTACTAGATCACTTCGCGTACCGTACTGTAACGTCCACTTGACTGTCGATATGCCTGCCGCTAGCGTTTAAATATTATAATCGAACATCGTAGAACCGGAAGCATTATTCTTGCTGCTTTTCGAGTGGTGAGAAATCATCGTTCATTCCCGCGCTCTTAGCTACGTCAAGTTTGGTTTATGGTTACCAGTGGCGGCCGGCGTTACTTTCTTTCGGGCATGATCTACAATAATAATATATCGACATAGTCATTTATAATTGTTTATTTATTTATGGGTTCAAAACCCTCAATAGAATACAAAAAATTATAGAATGTCGGTATGCAACAATACTACTACAACAATAAGAAACATGTGTAGACGTGTGTGTTTCGCATAAACCACATAATCCACCCCGAATTAAACCGCTGTTGAACTAGCAAGCAACAATATATAAATTTAAGTCTTGAGAGATTGGAAGAATCCAACCTCATACCCAAGCCAATAAAAATATTCTCGGACAGTCAAGCGGCGTTGGAAGCTCTTGGCTCCTACCGCGCAACGTCTAAATTAGTAGCAAATTGCCAAAAACGACTCTTCTTAATTGGAGGACTTAACAGACTGTCTCTGGTGTGGATTCCTGGCCATTCCTGGAAGTCAATGAACCTGCTGACTTCCTTGCAAAGGAGGGTGCTGCAAGCAGCTTCGCCGGACCAGAACCTGTCATTGGCATCGCTTTAGGCTTTGATAAACAAAGATTGAACACCTGGATGGCTCACTGCGTTTATTCACCCTTCGAAGCTTGATACCAAACAGTTGTTGGACTACAATAGGAATGAACTACGATGTCTAGCGGGCCTTCGTACAGGTCACTGTCATTCGTATCATCATATCAGAGACTCGGACTGTCGGAAGACAGTGTGTGTCGCCTGTGTTTGGAAAATGATGAAACAGCAGATCACATACCTTGTGCCTGCCCCGCTGGGAACTGAATGAGGTTTCTAGAGATCGGCAGAGCCGTACTCTCACCATCTGGCCGTACTCTCACCATACAAACTAATCGGCTTCGTTAAGAATTTGGGTTCATTTGGTCGAGTGTAAATAGGTATAAGCCACAGTAAACCCTTGCAGGCTGCGCTGGAGTATCGAATAGACCCACTCACTTTGTACCTAATCTAACCTAAGTCTGCTTCATTAACGCTCTTATAGACTGTGGTATAAAGGAATGAAGATACTGATTTGTGTTCTGCAGTGTGTGTATTTACTGATGAAGAAATGATTTTACTAATTCAATTGACACGAAAGAGATATGATCTTGGACTGATCCCTTGATTATTAAACTTCCAAAAAAATTATCAGCTATAAGATTGTGATTCAAGTTTATTACCAAGTATTTTACTGAAGGGTTACTTCGTTAAAGTAATAAAATGTGTGCCCTGTCGTGCAATAAAAATAGAACCTAGTGCCTCAGAAGTGAGAGGAGATGGCATTTCTTCACATTGAAATAATCCAGGTCCGTATTGAAAGTTTTTAAATTGAGGACACCCTAAGTCTGATGACAACCTCCATAAAAAGTATATGACCATATTCTGATAATACAATGAAAGAGTCAATGGCAAAGTTGTAAAGAGATTTTCAATATATATGCAAATAAAAAAGATACAGCAAAAATAAAATTTTCAATTTGCATTCTTTATGTCCAAGGTTATGTTTGAATGAGAGTATTCAATTGAAATCAATAATATTGATATGCCGACTCTCTATTTTTTTTAATATTTAGTTCACGTTGCCAACTTACCAGTAAATAAGGGACATTTTAACAGAAAGTTTCTGAATGTTCATACCTGAAAAAGCCGAACCAGACTACAATTATGCTCACGAAGGGTCTGCTAATAAGTCTTTTATATTTTTGTAATATTTGAACATTTCACCTAATTTGTTACACTTGAACTATTCATTCATAAATGGTCTTTTACTCATGCAGATTTGATAACAAAACTTCATTCTTTGAGAAAAACTTAAAAAAACTAGAAAATTAAACACTGCATACAAGAACTGGTTCTTCAAAGAATGATTGTTTTATATGGATAGTATATGGTGTTCTAAATGGTTATAATAATCAGGCACTTTGACAAGAATGTGAAGATGCCATTAACCTAAAATTACTTCCAGACTAGATTGCCTGAAAATCTAATAAATTGTTTGAAAGATGTCAAAGTATATATTTTCCCTTCGAGACCAACCAAGAATTTAGATTAGTTTTATTTATTTATACAAATACAGTTTTAAAATAACATATATTTACAAAACTTCTATAAAGTTATTATTTGTTTCCTGATTTTCCTTCTTTTTTTCTTTTCCTAGTGGTTTTTCTTATTTTTGGTTTATAGGTTCTCCTTCTCTTATACTTGACTACACTTGTTCTGTTTAATTTGCTTGTGTAATCAATGGTCCTAGCATGGTTTACTAACTGCATTGCTATGTCATCAAAAGCTTTCTTTGTACCGGTACGCCTTGTTTTTGTTTCTGACTCTGTAGTACTGTTTACATTACTATCATTAGACCGATGATATTCATCAATAATTTCAGTATTTTTACTAACTGATGTTCTGGAAGTATTATCAATACCTAGAGTTGATGTTGCACTCGTATTTTTCTTCGTATTTACCTTGTAGCTTATGGACGTCTCATAACTTTCACTTGTCAACGGCTGAAAATTCAATGTTGTTTCATCATATTTAACAACCGTGGGAGCAGTTGATGGCTCGTAGAAATTAGAGAAAATGACTTTATAATTTTCTAACATTCGTTCACCAAATAATTGTTTTGTAAGGTCTGACTCCATTGGTTCTGTGGTAGTGGTCCTTTTTGGTTTTGTTGTTGCTATAGTAGGCCCAAATATATCTTCCAAACCATATTCTTTCGTGGCAGGTTTTGTATATATTGGTTCTTTAATAGGTTCTGCATCAATTAAAAATGTATTTGAAACAGTTGGTATTGCCGAGGTACCAACCTGTTTTTCAGTTGTTTTGGGTGTATGTTTGGTTGCTGCACTTGATTTATCCAAATTGGTATGAGTGGAAGAAGTTAACTTCATTTCTGTCACTTGAGTAGAAGTAAGAATATCTCCAATTATCATGGTAGTTTCAGCTATTGATGATGTATCACTGGTTTTAGTTGTAATGTGAAATTCCATATTGAATGTATTCTCTATTGATTCGTCTGGTTTCAGTGTGGTGGATCTCATCATTCCCTCCGAGTCTGTTACTTCAAGAAATTCTTCACTCATTGTGATAGATTCAAGTAAATTTTCAGTTGTTTGCTTTGTACTAACGATTTCTGACATTATGCCCTTAGTAGTATTATCTGCAAATTTTAATTTAGTGGTTTGTTCTTGCCTTGAATCTGTGTTATCATTAAGGTTTGTTGTAGTGATCAGTCTATTAGGATAAGGTGTAGTTTCAATATCTTCACCTGGTGCAGACATTTGGCTAGATGGTTCTAGCTCATCTGACGGGTTTGGAGATATATCTTTTACAGCTTCTGTTTGTTCAGCAATAGTAGTTGAACCTGTCATGAACTCCGATATCAATTTTTCAGTAAGTGTTGTAGGAAGAGTTGGTAATTTGGAAAATATCGATAAAACTGTTGTTCTTGATGAAAGTGGAGTTGATGATGAAACTGGAGTTGTTGAGAAAAAAGGAACTGTTGATGAAACTGAAGTTGTTGATGATACTGGGGTTGTTAATGATACTGGGGTTGTTAACGATTCTGAGGTTGTTAATGATACTGGGGTTGTTAGTGATACTCGGGTTGTTGATGATACTGGGGTTGTTGATATAATTGGAGTTGTTGATGATACTGGGGTTGTTGATGATACTGGGGTTGTTGATGATACTGGAGTTGTTGATGATACTGGGGTTAATGAAACCTTCGATATTGATGGAACTGACGTTGTTGATGGAACCAGCGTTGTTGATGGAACCAGCGTTGTTGATGAAACTGGCGTTGTTGATGAAACTGTCGTTGTTGATGAAACTGTCGTTGATGAAACTGACGTTGTTGATGAAACTGACGTTGTTAATAAAACTGGCGTGGTTGATGAAACAAGAGTTGTTGATGAATCTGGAGTTGTTGATGAAACTGAAATTGTTGATGAAACAGGCGTTGTTCCAGACAAAATTGACATTGTTGTCGACACTGGTGTTTTTGATTCAATTGTCGTTTTTGATGACATAGCTGTTGTCAATAAAATAGATGTTGGTAACATCCCTATAGGAACTCCTCCGGTGGTATAAGTTGGTGCTTTGATAATGACTTTGGTTGATGATGACAAAGCTCCTACTGTTGAAGAAGTAGACGTTTCAGTTGTTAATTTTGAGGAGGCAGATGTTTGTGGTGTTGTGGATGGTACTGTGAATTCTAAAGCTGTTGATTTTGGAACTTCTGCCAGAGTCCCAGTTGTTGATGCTGATTGAATTTTTGGTGTTGTGAACTTGGAAGATGTAGGTGGAGTTTTGTAAATTTCTGTCAGGGGAAGGATTGATGATGATGATGATGTTCCAGAACTGCTTGATGTAGTAACTGAAACTGGCGAAGCTGATTGGATGTTTTGTGTTGCAAACATCGTTGTAGTAGTAGTTGTTTTCATTAGCGATGGGAAAGTTTCGGTTGAGGGCATTCCAATTTTATTACTTGTTTTCGATGTGGTTTTTGATGTATTTGGTTTTAATATCGGTCTATTGGTCATTTTGGTGGAAAATGATTTTGATGTGGTCAATTTTTTAGTTGCAGATATTATTTGAGATCCGTTTGGAATCATCTTGCTCGTAGTAGTCTCAGGTGTGGTCAATTTAGTTGGTTTGTTAATTTTTGTTTTGTAATATTTCTTAGTAGGCTTAGTGGTCACAAATTTCGTTGATACTGAATGAGCAGTACTGTCATCAGAAATTGGAGGTTTTGTACTTTTCTCTTGATACTTTTTTCTTGGTTTTGGGACTACTACATGTGGATTGTGTTCTTTTGAAGGTATGTCCAAACTTTCTTTTCCTTTCTTAATCTTTGTTGTCATTTCATTCATGTCAGAGGTTATTAATTGTTCTTCTCCATCAGGCATGAAGTAATGGATAGTTGTTAGTGGGGGACGTACAACTTCTGGAACTTTGCTCGATATTGGTTTTGTAAGAACATCGATTGTTGGATGTGTCATAGGAGAACTATCCATCGAAATGTGCTTAGTTGTTCCTTCATATTGATTTAGAGGAATCTTGTGTGGACCACCCCCCTGAGTTGTAGTAGTTGTTTTAGCCGCTAGTGTCTCAATTAGCTTGTGGTATAGCTCCCTCTCTTTCAGATCATTATTTTCCGTATTTGGCAGTTGAACTGGATGAGTGTAAAAACCAGGGTAACTATGCAAAACGTGTTTATATCCTGCTGTATCTATTCCAATAACGATATCAGGCTTGAAGTGCTTATGGGGTATTTTACGGTTGTACACCTAGATAAAAAATAATTCAGTGAAATACTTGAATTTTATAAAACTTGATCATACTTACGTCGAGGTAACTTTCTGTAGGCGTGTTTTTGCTGTTTTCATGACTCTTTACAACAAATACATGACCAGGAATGGCATAATTGAAACGACCACGTCTGGTAACGATATTGCTTGTTTCAGAATTTATTGGAGAAATTGTGTATTCAATCTCATAACGATGTATGTTATTGAAATCACGGTGCCTCAATCTTTTGACAGTCCACAGTGCTATCAGTTCTTCTTGATTGTGGGGAGTCCATGGCTAAAACAATACTCCGTCAATATATACCCAGATTTGAAAACACTTTTCTGTACTTTTTATTAAATAGATGAGTTGTATACACATACATTAAAACATACTTCCAAAACCAAAATCTTCAATAATCACTCAACCAAGTTCAAGTTTCCTTATTGTTCATTTCTCATTTGTATTGAATAATACAAGCATTTTTATAGTTTTCACACATCACTCTTATATGCTTGCTAACTTGCAGCTGCAGAATCTGTATGATCTTACAACACATATAAAACCGTGATGTAATTAGTTACCCTTATTGAATCTTTCGTCAAAATCAGTGATACATTTACATTGCTGAACATTCAAATTCGTGTAACAAGGATGCTAATAATAAATAATTTGTATACTGTACAGAATTGTTTCTTGTTGTGTTCTCCTCACTAATTGTGATAGACTGCAGTGTTGGAAACTGAATCAATTGGTGATTTTGATATCTACTTTATGTGGTAATGCATCGCTAATGCTCAAAACCTATTGAGTAACTAGTATTTTGTGGATTTTGTTTAAACATTCGGGAGAGGTTCCCTCACCAAAGACAAATTTCCCACCCTTAGGTGGGAAAACTGTTCAAAAAGTTCCGGTAATAGAAAAAAAATGTTCCTTTATTGCCCCAACCGAGCACGTTACAGAATCGCACACTTGTATTTTTTTGTTGTGGAACCTATAGGAAGGCATTCAAAAATGTAACAAATTATGTCTGCCAAATGAATAACTGTCAAGAGGAATCGATCCAGTTGAATGAAAGAACAGTTATATTTCGCCAATATTAAAAAACTGTGATGAGGCTCATATTGTGAATTATTGCCTAATTACAAAACTTTCCATAACTCCCAAATTATTTAAGGAATTAATTCATATATGTATGAAATTGTGAAGATCTGATTACAAGCAAACTACATAGGTTTTCCTAAAGTAAATCTAGTGTGACCAATTTACTGGATTATCAAATATAAATTGTGAATACCGACTTCTCGAAGGCTTTCGATAGGGTGAAACATATCATCCTTCGCAAATTAGGAATAAACCAGGAGAAATCGGTACGTGTATCGACAACTATTCCACTTAAATTGCCCTACTGCGATATAAATGCGTGTTGCCATGGGCAACCCCGTGTCATATTGTTTGAACTAAAATTGAACAATTCAAACTTTTTTGGGAAAGAAAGGTTTTGGCTTTCTACCTCCATCTTGATACAAAAGATGTGAGAATCTTTCAAAGAAAGGAAGGAAGCAACATTTTTCTCTATTCCGTTTGTATTCCATACATTCTCAATGTAATCGAATCAGATACTACACATTAAAATAAATCAAAGAAGTAGAATTTCACTTACATGGAACACTGTCATCCTCACTAGTATACACCCAATGTTTCATCGTGAGACACTTGTCTTATCGGCTCTTCAGTACCAAATACAGATAACATTATAAGAAAAAACACTCAGTTCATTCATAAAATTACGCCATTTTGTCACGGAATGAGTTGAATCTATCCAACTCTCTTATGGCGAAACATAATATGTCTACCAGCGAGGATGATAGTGTTCCATGTAAGTGAAATTTTACTTGTTTCATTTATTATACTGTGTAGGAATTCTATGAATGATATCTGATTCGATTCCATTAAGAATGTTTGGAATACAAACGAAAGAGAGAAAAGTGTTTTTCGTATAATTCAGCGTTCATATAAAAGTATTTGTTTTCAGCTCGTGTGATTCAATGTTCATATGAAAATAGTTGTTTCAAGAGAGCTTTTTCTTTCAGTTTGTGTCTGAAAGTTACTTCTTTGCATGATCTACACATCTTGGTATAGGGTTAATTTTTTGAAAGTGATTGCTTCCTTCCTCTCTTTGGAGGATTTCCACATTTTTTTGTATTAAGATGAAGAAGTAGAAAACCAAAACCTTTTTTTCTCAAAAATTAGTCTCTCTCAAAAATACACCCTTTCAATTTAAACTGGATTCCCATGGCTGGGATTCAATCAAATAAGCGAACCAAGTGTGCTAGAAACAAGCTTGTTCTATTCAATCTTTATTTTTTAACAAGCAATTCTTTGTATGTGGTTTGGTATTCTTGCAACTCGCATCACACACTTGCTTAGACTAAGTCATTCTCCGGTTACAAATTTAAATTGAATTTGCAGTCTAACCGAGAAATAAAATCTTCGGTTGCAAGCAGCTCGCTTCGAGTCAGTGATTGATTGGGTATGTAGTCGATGGCTTCCATCGAATACCACCGATCCACCGAGATTGCTTTTTTTTTTTATTTATGTAACATTTCTATTACGTAGATTATAAAATTGTAAATGATCAAAATATTGTTCATTGTGCTTTGTCCATAAGTTTTACGGACTGCATGACCATAAAGAATTTATTGATTGGGTTTTTCATATCGGAAAAGGAATCGTTCGATTCCTTTTCCGATATGGAATCAGTAATCACACCAGGGCCTTCTTATTAGAACTAACAACAATACCTGACATTGATGTCTTGTGCATCTCCGAGGATTGTGACAGTCATCACAATCATTTTGGTACGGATCTTGAACTAAAGCAAAATTTCCACCATGAATCCCATACAATTGTCCTCGAGCTAAAACGGCAACATCTCCGAAAGGTGTCGCAGAATCCTGTCTTCCGATGAGAGGAGCTCTGATTATCCTATCTCTCAGATTAGGATCTTGGTATCGTTCTCTAAGAAGGGCTTGAAGTACAGCTTCACGGAGACCTATCTGGAGAAATGAATGTTTTGATATCACTTTATGAAGAATTGATTTAATTCTGGAAGAATGAACACAATAGGTCGTATGCAAGTATTTTTTTAATGGCAAAAAATATCCCGTAAGCAAACTATTTTTTTTGCGGCATCAACTGCTAGGTTATCAGCAAAATATTTTTCAAATACAACAATATTGATGATTGATAGAAACGATAGAAATTCAAATGGACAAAAACGCACCAAAACACATTGGTGGCGTTAGAAGGTATGTATACGTCGGTGATGTTGGCGTGTTGCCATACCTGTCTACACTTTCGAATACATTCAAAACTGAAAGGGCATAAAAATGTAGGTGGCCACATAACGCGAATTCATATGGGTTGTTGTATTCCATATCACCTTGGCAACACTGGATTCAATTTCAATTTTGAGTCATTACATATAAAATTGAAGCTGCTTATTTTTCTGTTTCTGTTTCAAGATAGCAAGAACGTGGAAAATAAAAAAAATATTGAAAATCGACCGATCGGTTTCAATTATTTTGTTGCTGTTACTCAAGGTGTATTTAAGTTTACTCTTGGTGAGTAACAAATTTAGAACATCTTCAATTCCAGGAAAAAACAGTTTCAAGATAGCAAGATCATAAAAAATAAAAAAAATTATATAATTTTTTTTCGCTATATCCAAGGTTTAGCAACTGAATAGCAACTAAATATTCTGTAAAGATCAAAGGGAAAGTATATCATTTATTGAGTTACCTTGCTACCTTGATATAACGATAGCATTATTTGCGATTTCTAGGGATCGGCATGAGCAACAAAATCGTTGTTTTGGCAACTAATGAGCAACTAATTAGCTACAAATTGATGTACAGAACTTGTAGTACCAAACGTTTCGTTTGTTACTGCAGCAGACATCTTCAGTGGTATATGCGTTGACTGTGAAGGTAGTAGGACTCATCAATTACTGATTCAGTGGTTCAGTCGTTGCTGAGACTTTGTCCTCTCTAGGTGAAAAATGACCCTATAATTCCTTAAAAGTGTCAAAATATATCCGATTTGCTGTGATGGCAAAAAAATTGACATCAGTTTATGAACTACGACTAGGAATGGCGAATAACGACAATTTCGACTTGTGACGTCAAAACATTATCTTAGAAAGCGTTTTGGTGTGACATAAATTGAACTTTACTTAAGAATTTTGCAGTAAATAAATATAAGTTTGAAGAAATAAGTGAACATGCATCCCTGTAATGATGAATAGAATGGTTTTGTTGGCATTTTAGCGAAAATAGCGAGACATGCAAGTAGCTTACTGTTCATTTTTGAATGGTCTTCAATGCGTCATTCACTTTATCTTATCTACGTTAACCACCATTTCTAACCTGGAAATATTACATTTTTGATAAAAATAAAGTGATCATTGACATGCCTCTCTTAGAGAGTGGTACCCTCATATTCTGTGTCACATCATTAATCCATAATCATTAAATGTTTTTTGATAATACTGTGAACAGTTGCTAGTTGATTTCCTTCTACAAAATTCGACATAAGACTTACTTTTATAATATTGTTCGTTTCCAATCAACTGAGAAGAAACCACTTTTGAAGTATGAAGAGACCATAAACAATGTACCTGTACTTTATATTCCCATTACTGGCACCCAACAATTGATAATTCTTTCTATCAGGTCAACATACAGTGTCACCGATAAAGTCCGCATCAAATGGGAAACTTTTTTATTTATCGTTTTATGTGAAATTTGATTTTGGCAGTGGATTTTGCTTAAGAAATGATGTCAAATGGCGTCTACAAAATAGGTCACGTGATTTCCTTAACCTGTCAAAATTGACATTTAAAAAAAGAAACATCGAAAAATGACATTATTCTTCAAAATATCCAAAAATATCAAAGGATA